TGGCTTCAGTGCTCAGGATGGAGAGATATTTACCGATCCTCTTTGTGCAGAGCAAACACTGGAGTAATCAGCTGATCACTCCAGTGTTTGTAAACAACTGGGGGCACATAGTACTATGTGCCCTCGGTTATGAATGAACAGGAAATGCTTTACATCACTTCCTGTTCATTCATGAGTTTCTCAATGGGTGTAAGCATTCACTATAGAGACTTCTACCCATTGATAACTGGATGATAGTAAATATTTTACTATCACCAGTTTCTGAATGAATGAGTAGGCTCTGTACTGAGTGCTTTCCATTCATTTAGAACAGAGGCTGCAGAAAAAAAGATTGAGGACTCCATGTACTCAATCTCTTTTTCTATTTCACAAGGGAAAGGTCATGGGTCTGTTCAGACCCCCGATATTTCCCCGTAGCCCTCCAACAGTAAAATAATAATAATAAATAAATAACCCCCCACACACATATTAGTAGACATGTGCAAAGACAAAACATTTGTTTCAGACTAAATGAACGGAAACTAAAAATATTTTCATTCGTTTTGTCAAACAAAGCAAATTTTTATGCTATTTTGGTTTTGGCCGCCAGCACATTTTGCACAACTGCCGGCAGCTTGATTTGTTCCATAAGTGATGACAGGGTCTCTTTAAAGAAGAACTCCAGGAAATGTAAAAATTAACCCTTGCACTAGGCTACCCCGGCACTGCAAATGTTAAGTGCTTGTTTTGGTCTAGTGGGATAAAGGAGATATACTCCCCCGATCCTCGGTCCCACCTGGCTGCCTCTTCCACCCTGGGCTCCGGTGGTCTAATCACCTGTGAAGTCATCCTGTGAGGACCCCGAGAGACATTTCACAGTCAGGGTGGAGGGGGAGAGAGGTGAGCGCTGACTGCCACAGGATGGAGGATATCTTCTTTATTTTAGCCCCCTAGAACAAAACTAACAGTTAACCCTTACAGTGCCGGGAGAGCCCCACTTCAAGGGTTTACGTTTTACATTTCCTGGAGTTCTAAATTTCTTCTGTTTTCACACGCATGCTAAAATGTTATCTTGTCTGAGAGATGAGGAGCTGTGGAATAAAAAGATGGCGGTCCTGATTGTCTGTGTTGCTCCATAATTGCACAATTGTGTATGATGTCATCTATATGTCTTCAAGTAAAATGCAATGGGGGTTTGTCCAAAAACGGGAGCAGATAAAATCTGGAGCAGTTGCCCGCAGCAACCAATCAGCTTCTCTTCTTTTTGTTCAGATCGTCCCCGTTCACACCTTCGCATTCCAAAAACGAGCACATTTTTTTCCTGCGTTTGCTGTATGTTGCCTATTGATTTCACACATGAGCCGCACACATGACAACTGCAGGAACGTAGCTCATGCAGCAGATTCACCGTGCGTCTGTGCACATTTTAATACAACAGCAAAAAATTTCCCATCACATTCACCAGCCAGCATGCAAAAAAACCTGTCTCACACTAAGGTTAAAAGCAGAGGTTTGGATACACGTCTTCTGCAGAAAATGTGAAAGCCGCACAGCCGCGCCAAGGCACCTCTATATAGTGCGGTCCTAACTCTAAACTATCAGAGCCTCCATCTTGGAGCTCATGGGGCAAAAGATTAAATTGGGTGCAGGTTTGTCAGGAGGAAGCCCAACCTCCTTAAAGACACAGGGACACACAAGGGACCCCGCACATCACAACGGCAGCTGAGACCCCCATGCGTCACTGCGGGGAAAAATGTACTTTTTCTGGATGCGTTTGGAGTGCCAACAAGTAATGGCAATGCAAGTGTGTTGTATATTTTTTGACGCAAGACATGTCATTGCACACATTTTGTGCACGTTCAAAGAATGTGAGGGTATAAATGGGGACTTAAAGGAGAACTATGAGGTGAGTGAAAATCACTCACCCTTATAGTTCGAGCCGACGTGTGACAATGAAACTGTCACACGTCGGCTCAATAGATCGGGAAGTGAGGGAACACATACCATCGCTCGCTCACTTCTCGATCATCACCCTGCAGAGAGCCGTGACTGTCAGTCACCGCTTCCCGCAGGGATTCCCCCCTCCCCGCTCCAATCCTCCAGCGCTGACTGGCAGAACGGACGGGGGAGGGGGCGGGTACAGCTGGCTCTGCCTCTAGATAGGCAGAGCCAGCTGTCACTCACGCAGCTGGGTGGATCTTGACAGCAATGTCGGGATCCGTCCCGGCTGCGGCAGTCTCAGTATACTGCGAGCTGTAGATCGCGGTATATTGAGCTTTGGGCGACGGGAGGACGCTAGTATATGTCCTCTCGTGACCCTTAGGAGAACTATGGGGAAAAACACTTATAATCTCCACATTTTGCTTTATATATCACAGAGGAGACAAATCTATCCAACCTGAACATCAGGAGTGCTAGTGAAACAGCATTACACTTGTGGACTGAGCTGGGGGACTGCAGCTCGCCTGGCATTACCCCCACTAGGTGGCACCGCCCCTATGCACCACCCAGTGGTGGTAGTAGTGCACTGCAGTGTGAATGACATTCTCCCAGTTCTAAGATTCCATTATAAGTATGGAAGTCAGAGAAAAGTCAGAAGTCCTCATCACACCAGTCCCCGGGACTATGATCCAATGTAATGATGATACCAAAAGGACAGCATGGCAGCCAGGCAATGAGTATTTCCAGGAGGACGAGGCAATGACACTCACAGCTCCTCGCCTATTAGTTAACATTGTACAACATTCACCACTTTACACATATGAGAATGTTGGCAGTGAATGTGCAGTGAATTATCCCAAACTGGCACCATAGGGATCATACAGATAATGCTGGGGGACTACAAGTATCAGCATATGCATGCCGGATCTACAGAGCAGTAACTACACACACTGTATATATATATGAATATGTGAGTCCGGTGTGCTGGGACCGCTCAGTCCCTGTATGTGAGTCCGGTGTGATGGGACCGCTAAGTCCCTGTATGTGAGTCCGGTGTGATGGGACCGCTCAGTCCCTGTATGTGAGTCCGGTGTGCTGGGACCGCTCAGTCCCTGTATGTGAGGTCAGTGTGATGGGACCGCTCAGTCCCTGTATGTGAGGTCAGTGTGATGGGACCGCTCAGTCCCTGTATGTGAGTCCGGTGTGCTGGGACTGCTCAGTCCCTGTATGTGAGGTCAGTGTGATGGGACCGCTCAGTCCCTGTATGTGAGGTCAGTGTGATGGGACCGCTCAGTCCCTGTATGTGATCCAGTACCCGGTATGTGTCCGGTTACAGAGGAGGGGGCGGGGCCTCTATGGCTCTCCCCGGTGGGGGATCTTCTGTTGCCGGACACTTGGAGCTCTGCTCTGACTCCGCGCTGTCCCCGTCCTCCTCCGGAGCAGGTAAGAGGGATGGCCGGGTCCTCCGTACAGGAGTGGGGGAGGGGAGCACACTGCACTCATCTGATGGAGAGAAGGCAGAGCGGAGTGTACAGAGGGATCTGCAGAGAAGTTTATAGGGAGTATGAGAAGTGTTCTGCAACATGGAGAAATGCAATGATCTGCAGTGTTTGTATAGAGAGTGTTCTGCAACGTGTACATGGAGAGTTTTCTGCAATGTGTAGAAGGAGAGTGTTCTGCAATGTGTGGATGGAGAGTGTTCTGCAATGTGTAGATGGAGAGTGTTCTGCAATGTGTATGGAGAGTGTTCTGCATGGGGGAGGGGGGGCTGGTTGGGTTGGTACATGAGCAGCGGTTAGGGAGATGACTGACAGCGGCTCAGTTACTACATTCCTGGCCAGCCAGAGCAGTGCGGGGAATGTCCATGCTGTGATATCAGTGCATGACGTTCAATACACAACCAGCAAGATTACAGTGTAGTGTCATGTGACTTGTTCTCTACAGGCAGCGGAATCATTCTGGTTACTTTTTGTAATGAACAAGTAACATAATAGATTGTGAATTATACATTAAGTCTCATGTTTTCTATGTGTTGATGATGTTTTCTATGTGTTGTTGCCTCTGTTATCTCACTGTCCTCCAAGGTCTCGGTAATAGGAGGCAGAGTAGTGAAATGAGATATGTAAATAATGATATATTTTACCGTTCACTTCCACCTTTTCAGGCTCTTGAATACATGTGACCTCAACCAGGGCAGCCATCAGGGGGGTACGGCCGATACTCATGTAAGGGGCCCGGGCAGCCTGGGGGGCCCACCCGGGTCCCTTACATGACTATCGGCCGGCGGTGAAGGTCACTGGGACTATGGTAACTGAATATATGAACATAAAGCTTTGATCATAGGGATGCCATATGTACAGCAGATTTCCTGTCAGTAACCTAAGGCCAACCGCAGGAGGAGACGAGAGATGAGAGCTCTTTGCCTCATTACTCAAACAAGACAAAATCTTTGTTCCGCAGTGGAATTTGTAATTTTATCATGGAAGCTGTGATTGTCCCCTCTACTCTGATCAATGTGGGCTGATCTAAATATGGTGGCAGAGGTTTTCCAACATTTTTTAAACTAATGCATTGGGGCTGGTCTAAACAGGTATTTCCTTGTGTCTGCATTGCTTTACTTTCCTGTGCCAGTCAAAGTGAAGGTGAAGTACAGCTTAGTACAGCTGAAAAGCAACTCAAAAGCAGCTTAGGACAGATGAGAGCAGCTTAGTAGAGCTGAGACACAACGCAGAAACAGCTTAGTACAGCTGAGACGCAACGCAGAAGCAGCTTAGTACAGCTGAGACACAACGCAGAAACAGCTTAGTACAGCTGAGACGCAACGCAGAAGCAGATTAGGATAGCTGAGAAGCATCTCAGAAGCAGCTTGATACAGCCGAGAAGCAGCTTAGTGCAACGCAGAAGCAGCTTAGTACAGCTGAGACACAACGCAGAAACAGCTTAGTACAGCTGAGACGCAACGCAGAAGCAGATTAGGATAGCTGAGAAGCATCTCAGAAGCAGCTTGATACAGCCGAGAAGCAGCTTAGTGCAACGCAGAAGCAGCTTAGGATAGCTGAGAAGCAGCTTAGTACAGCTGAGACGCAACTCAGAAGCTGCTTGATACAGCTGAGAAGCAGCTTGGTACAGCTGAGAAGCAGTGGCGGAACTGCGGCCGGTGCGGGAGCACCGGGGCCTCAGCCTTTGGGTTAGTGTACAAAAAAAGTGTTTAAAAATGAATGTAACATTAAAAAGAAATCAAAAAATTGGGGAAAAAAATGTTTAAGTCCCCCGCCCGTAGCACCTACTTGCGAAAAACGACAATTGTGCTGAACATGTTACATATCGCCTCGAACGTCGCAGTGAGAGCAATAATGCAATTTTTCTGCCGATACAGCAACGCATCCCTGCTTTCTTTCCTCCCCGATGGGCGTTGCTCTGTGTCCCAGCAGGGAGGATAGAAAGTGAGAACCGGCCGAGCGCTGCGGGAGGAGAGCGCTGTGTTTGTTTGTTTTTTTTGGGGGGGGGGACCAAAAAAAAATCTTGCACCAGGGCCCTTTGTTCGTTAGGTCCGCCACTGAGCTAGGGCCCCATCAGTGACACTGCTCGTCTGATGTCGGACTGGCCGGAAGTGACGTCACGTTGGTGACGTGACGTCACTTCTGGCTGGTCCGGCGGCAGACGAGGCCATGTGTGCAGGTAAGAGGAACTAGGAAGGAAGGAAGGAAGGAAAGGAGGGAGGGGAGGGATGCAGCCCTGACCAGCCCACCTGAGACCCCTTCAGAGCCCACCATAGACAGTCTCAGATGGGCTGTGCAGCATCTATGGTGGGCTCTGCAGGGTCACTCTCAGGTGGGTCCTATGTCCAGCGCGTCACTAAGCCCTGCGTCCAGTGCGTCATTAAGCCCTGCGTCCAGCGGCGCAGGGGTGGCCCGGCCTAAAGCCGTGTAAGGGGCCCCAAAATTTCTGATGGCTGCCCTGACCTCAACTTTAGTTTAGTACAGAATGTTCACATTGAGGCTAGGTTCACACCTGCACTACACTGTACAACACCCGGGACACACATCCCAGGGCTGCGCGTTAATGCACACAGCGATTGCCGCACAGCCCCATTGATTTCAATGGGTGACATCCGCACGGCAATCACTAAAAAAAAGGTACAAGTACCTTTTTTTGTGACACACCACTCGCGGTGATCGGTTCACATCTTGGCGACTCCTGACCGCGTGGCAATCGTGCACAAAACCCTCTATACTGTGCTGAGCATAATATACTGAAAGCTGATTGGTAGTGATGGGATTCTGCACTTTGTCCTTCGTTGTGTATGATGAATAATTCTACTAGAACACGCAATGTGTCTGTAGATCTCACATGACAACTGGCAATGTTGTTTTTATTTAGTTGCGTTTGCACTATGCAGTCAGGGGTGTCCTGGACTATTAAAAACACTGGTGTGTACCTTCATTTAATTGCAATACCTGTGGGCTGTGTTGGAAATAGATCTCAGTGCTTCGAATGAACACATAACTAACAGGCCCAGCCTATCTGAAATACTGCAAGTGGGAGCGATCAGCGCCATCCTGGCTGTGGTTGGGAACACTTTGTATGTCGGTCATGCCCCAACATCACTGGAATGTACATACTCCCTCTTCCAAGGCTTGCGCCTTAAAGGAATGAGGTCAGCCACTACGGCAAGAGAGGGAGCCGTGAGTATGCATGGGTCTTGAAGTGGGAGCATGTTTGTTCCAGTGTTGCTGGTGTTGCGTCTAATGCCCAACCACACATGACTACTGCTGAAAAGAGGGAGAATGCTCATTCCAGTGATTCTGGGGGTGCGCCCAATACCCACCCACACATGCATACATCTTGAAAGAGGGAAAACGTTAATTCCATTTATGCTGGGGGTGCGCTCAACACCCAACCACACATGCATAGGTCTTAAAAGCGAGAGAACGTTCATTCCAGTGATGGTGGGAATGTGCCCAATGCCCAACCACACATGAGTATGTCTTAAAAGACAGAGAACGTTCGTTCCAGTGATGCTGGAGGTGCACCCAACACCCAACCACACATGCATAGGTCTTAAAAGAGAGAGAACATTTGTTACAAGGATGCCAGGGGTGCGCACAATGCCAATCCCACATGAGTATGTCTTTAAAGAGGGAGAACGTTCCTTCCAGTGATGCTGGAGGTGCATCCAACACTTAACCATGCATGAGCAGGTCCTGAAAGAAGGATGATGCTGGGGGCGAGCTCAATGTAGGGAGTGTGTCCCACATTACAGGCAGGACAATGCTGAACGCTGTTCTCAATAATAGTTTTTCAGCCAGGCTGTAGATAAACCGCGATGGCTCCACTGGTAATGCTTTTAAAGCACAAATTGTAAAGCTACACTGTCTCTTTTAAGTACAGGGCAGCATTGATGTGTGTGGGGCCGTGCACACCTCCCCGCCCAGCTTTGGCAACCTGAGACATTCTTACTGGTGTCCCGCCCAGCTCCAGGCAACCTGTGACATCACTGGTTGCTAGGAGCTTGGTTGAACGCCGTCTACAGTGTCCCAGGTTGCTAATAGTTGGGCGGGGAGATGCATTTCCCCTCCCGGCCCTAGTGCCATCATTCTTCACCAGCACCCCATCCTTCTCCCCAATGCAATATCAAGCAACATGCCCCCCTTTGCTGCTTCAGGTGACAAAAGGGTGCTAGGGACACCTCTACTGCTGCCTCCAAAAAGCCTGTTTTTCTTTGTCTATCCCAAGGGAGCATTTTATATTAAAATACTGCACAGCAGCTGCCTAACATACATTAGTATGCAGTTGCAGCACGGTCCCATTAACTTCAATAGGCGCATTTGGCAAGCAGCACTTTCCACCAAACGTGACATGCTACAATGTGTACGGACCCCTCCAGCCGCCATGTAAATGTGTATGTAGAAAGTAAGGGGGCGGTAAAAACGCAGATAAAGTGCCATCCATGTGAACTCAGCCATATTTATTACAGGAGCATGAGAGATCATAGTGTGGCAACTAACAGACTTGAGAAGCTCATGATGCCTGCTCATTATGTTGGAGGGGAGCTGTAAAGAACGGAGGGGTTTTCTATAAATATATAGCAGGGGGTAGCCAAACTTTGGCCCTCCAGCTGTTGTGGAACTACTGGTCCCATGAGTCATTGCAAGACAGGCATGTCTTCCAGGGGCAGTTGGTTACTTCTGATCTATAGGAATAGGGAAGCACACATTACAGGAATGATTCAGTAAGTTCCATACTGCTGGTGGCTGCCTTGCATCTTCTCAAGTTGACCCAAAAAATGCATTAACCCTTTCTGGGCAGTGCACACGGCATACTGCAGCCACGCTCTGATCTCACACATGTCTGCTGTGTTCCACATGCACATGATCTGCGGCTCGGATCCTTTGGCTGGACACAGGAGTGAGCGCGGTCCTGCCAGTATCCGCAAGTTGCTG